GGATACTGAAGGGGAAATGACTTTATTAAACTACTTTTGTTTAGGTCTCACTAGATGCTTTTCTGGATTAAACACACACACACTCTTTAAGAAAAAGTGAAAAACACCTTCCAGCAGCTTTCCATTGCCCTTGGAATAAAACACAAGCTCCTTAATAAGGTCCCATAAGGCCCTGTAAATCTTTCCCAGCCTACTTCATCTCTCTTTCCCCAGGTCCTAGCCAAACCTCTGAGGATCCTTTCCACATCTCTCTCCCACCTCAGTGCCCTCACAACACCTGCTATTCCTTCTTACTGGCAATCCATTCTCTCTGGCTTGTATCTTGCTTATTCCTGCTCATCCTTCAGGGCCCACAGCATCTTGCTGGTCTCCCTCACAAAAGCATTCTTTCTCTCACTTGCTGTGTGACCTGGGGAAGTTACCATTGCTTCTCCTCTTTGAGCCTCGCACCTCAGAGAGATATCCTAAGTTTAAGCATTTGGCACAGTGCTCAGCACACAGGAAACGGTCAACAAGCCATCACTGCTGTCATTGTTATCTCATATAAAGTAATCTCCATCATAGCACTTAGTACAATTAGTAATTATTTATTTGTAGAAAAAATGGAACCCCTCCATTCCACCTTACTATCTAATACCTTTCATGCTATTTCCCCACATACTATATTTTTGGAGGGGAAGATGAAATGAATGATTACAGAGCAATTGTTATCTCAATTATTACCTCAGAGATGTGGTTTGGCAGATGCAGAAACTGAGGCCAAGATCAAGTAGTAGATTAGAATCCAAATTGGCCTCACTCCATAGTCTGTGCTGGGTGCATTGACACCAAAGGCTTCCTAACTCATGAACTTTGTCATCTAAGAGCAGCAAAGCTCAGAGAGGGCGGATCTTCACATTCACATACACCCCAAAGGACTCCCAGGTATCTACTCTTCAGCTCCTTAACAGGCCTGGAGTTCCAATCATCCCCTGCAAACTCCTTCAGCAGAACACTTCCTGACTCTGATGGTAGTTTTCCTTATTTCCTTTCCACTGGATATTGAGGTCTTAAGGGGATGAGTATCTTTCATCTCTTATGCCTACAGCAAATAGGAAGCATGCAATACATGTTTCCTGACTGAATTATTTAAAATGTTGGAGAATATATATGGCTGCAAAGTTGGGGGGTGGTAGAGTGTATTTTCATAACAATATTTAAATTTGGCAGTTAGGAACAAATAACAATGATAACAAAAGAGTTTATCTTAACCATTTTACAACTGATAGCGATTTCTATACCCAGCACCAGAGATTCCAGGTGATTTACAAATGTGTGTTTTATGGCAGTATGTAGACTTTACTCCAACTCTGGGGCCCTACAACACCATCGATGTTCTGCTGTACCCCATGGATGCACGTGAGTCACTCTTCATGACAAGATGTCCTTGACAAATACCAGTCTCCCAATGGTTACTCTTGAATTGTTCATAAAAAGAAACAGAAAGGGCAAATGATAAAGCAAATGGGAACAAACTGTTAATAACTGGAAAACTTGGGTAAAAGGAATACAGGAGTTCTTTGTACTATTCCTGCAACTTTTTGTAATTATAATCACAAAAGTAAGATTTTAAAATTAAAAAAAAAATTTTCCCAGGAGATTCTAAGACACAAGGCCTAGTGTATTGGCCATATTGGTACCACATTCTCTTGCCAACTATTCCCAAAAAACACACTCTAGGCTTGAGTTTCCTTGCCTATCAGCCAATATCAAAGGACAAGGAGCTTCCTGAGTAGCAGGGCTCAGCCATAGTTTCTGGGTTGTGACACAGGATTAAATTATTTACTGCTCAAAATGTATTAATAAATGCTTTGATACCTCCTATTGGTCAAAGCCCCAGTACTATTTCCCCACACTAGGCCCCTTACTTTCTTCAGTTGTCTGTCCTCTGAGTTCTCACTTTCCTTTTCCCAAACTTAGCTATGGGGTCAGGCAAATTCTCCCTAGGACCATTTTCTCTTGCTGTCTCCTAAGGGAGCACTGAGACAGTTCTGATGGTAAGAGCTTTACTGCTATTGTCTGTTGGAGAAACCTATAGGGAGGAGACAAAAATAACCATGGGGGAGTCACAAACAATCCAGAAAACAGAAAACTCAAAGGAGTAGTTACTTGGTCTGTAATGATCACTTACTAGCACACTTTTATTTATTCAGTACTTTTACCCATTCATCCTAGACCCTACCCAACCCACAAACCAAAACGCTTCAGCTTTCCCAGCCATTGTAACTGGAACAACAGGTAGAAAATTGTAAATGACTCGAGTGTCCCCATGTTAGCCATTTTAGGAGAGTGCCAGATGGGTGTCACCCAACACCCACCCCCTAACTATAAGGAGAAGTAAGTAAAGGTCATATGGTAAGCCAGCATATGATGTCTACCTTCTTCAGCTCCTGTTTTGTGGAAGCTACAAAAGGTATTATGTCCTAAGATAATGTTCAACCTCTGTCCCTGATCAAGGCTTATAAGAACCCTCTGTAGTGACATGTCTTCACGAATACCTGATGCCTCCTGCCTCCCCAAGTTCCCCCCAGATACTTGCCTAGTTCCAGCCAGACATCAAAGTAATAGGAAAAAGAAGAAAGGCTTTGTGTAGGTTAGGGGAGAAGTGGGTTGCTATGGCTGTTGGAACACAAGGGAGGGAAAAGACTAGCATTATCAAAGGATCATATCCAACTTACAAGCCTTCAACATCCTTTGTTCTTTAACTTCTGTTAACATATATGTTTCAATTCTCAGAGCCCTGTACCATTACCTGACCTGTTCCTGAGAACCTCCTTTACAAGCCATATGGTGGGTCACAGGTACCCCTAAGTCACTCCAAGTCACTGCTTCCAAGTCACTCCCAGTTGATCACAAATACTTTAGGAAGGAATGGGAGGCCCTAACACTTTTCCTTACCTGTAACCAAGATTCATAGGCTCGTCCAGTTGAGAAGGCCAAGGAGTAGCAATATGTCTCAGAAAACAGGTAGACAGAAAGTGTGGGTTCTAGAACCAGACCTGTATTGTCTGCACAAAGAATTGCTGTTTCCAGGCAACAATATTAGGTTAAGAACTCTTTTCTAGCAAACAAAAGTGTAGAGAAGAGCATACTTAAAGAAAAGGTGGTAATGATGGTAGTTCACACTAACTGAGAAGCACTTACCAAAGATCTCATGTAATTCCTTCACCTCTTGAAAAGAAGTATCATCCTTTTGCAGTTCAATTATTTAAGCTCAGAGCTCACTTTAAATGTAAAAACAAAATGTTATGAAGGCAGAATACTCCTAGGATAAACTAAAAAGAATAAAACATTTATTTCCACTTCTCTGAAGAGTAATTATATGATGTGCTCAAAGGATGAGAACCACATTATTCAAAGAGTACAGAAGTGAGGCTGAGATTCACATTCTCATTATTTACAGATATTATGAAATTATTAAAATAAATAAAAACACAATGCTTTGTTCAGGCCGACTGACTCCTCTCCCATACACACCTCTCTCCCCCAAGCTAAGAAGTGGCTGCAGGGAAGGTATTTAAGAGAACTACTCTGGAAAAGTGGATTCTGGGTTGCTTAAAGTAAGCCAAGATGTTGTACAGTCTTTACCTAAATTATTTTAGAGTTAGAAGCAGACAGTTATCTTTACCAGGTTGAATACAGGGAATGAGGTCGTTTTTCCCTTCAGGCCACTGGAAACACGGTTCTGATTTCTTACACAATCAGATGGCGGAAGGGGGTGGGGGGGCACTGGCATCTCCTCCTCAGCTTCACAGTTAAACGGAACTCACATCAAAAAAATCTCGCGCACATCTGAGGCCATCAATTTCCTTGCAACTTAGAAAGTCAGAAAAGTGGCCAAACAAGTTTCTTGCCAAATGCCTAGAAGCCACATATGTCCCAGAGCTACAGAATGATACCTACAATTTTTAAAGATATTTATTCCTTTAACTTAAAAAAATTAATTATTTTTCAAGTACAGTTTTCTGTCTTTTACTCCCATCCCAGCCCACCCCCCCAGTCCTCCCCCCTCCCTCCCATTTCCACCCCTGTTAGTTTTGATACAAACTTTTAACATGCCTTCACATACCACCATTATGGTCACTAACTTAGGATCCCGCCCCCTTTCCCTTCTCCCACATAAGAAACGCAGGTTGTCCTCCGCAATTTAAAGCCTGACTTTTTCGAAGTAGTGGTTCTGAAAAGCGAGAGAGTAAGACTAAAAGCAAGCTATCTTTTTTTTTTTTTTTTTAAATCAATTGCCCGGTGGCGGAGGGAATAAAGCCAATTCAATTGCTGGAGAAAAGTTAACTTTGCTGAGCCCAGCGGTGGGAAAATTTCCCCAGAAGACTCGCAAAGCCCTACTTTTCCCACCCCTAGGACCGCCTGGGGCTCCGTGACCGGCGGCAGTCTCGGATCCGCAGCGCCCGAACAATAACGTGAGGGGGAGGGAAAGTTCGCTAGCCCGCGGAGCGCCCGGGCTCACGGGGGGCCTCGCTGCTCCCCGCACTACCCAGGCCCCCTCTCCCCGCACTCTGTTCTTCCTGCCCCCCAACATCGAAATAGCTGGGGCGCGCCCCCGCTCCCCGAGCATCTGGTCCCAGGCAGCCTGCAGAGCAGGTCCTCCCGCCGCGAGTTTGACCCCGTGAGCCCCGAGATCAAGCAGAGGATAGGGAACGAGGGGGCGTCGGGAGGAGGAACCGGAGGGAACGGCTGCAACAGTTATGGCGCTCCACGCTGCCCGAATGTGGCTGCAGCGAAGCCCAGGCGCCCGCTCCCGCCCCCCGCGCCGGCCACAGCCGGCCACTTTACCTCAGTGAGCACACGCTCTCAGCCCCCAGGCGCCCGAGCGCCTCGAGGCTGGGCCGGGACGCTGCACCCCAAGTGGCCAGCTCCAGCTCCCCGAAGCCGCCCCTCCGGTGCCCACCCGTCGCGCCGCCCCCCAGCCCGCTAGCGCCGCGTCCGGCCTCAGTGGCGCCTACCTTGGCGCAGCCGGTCGCGGCTCCCTCCGGGCTCCACGCTCCGTCCAGCACTGCCCAGCGAGTCCGGCAGGAGTGGTAACCGCCCCCCGAACTGCTCGCTTTCTTCTCTCCCCTCCCTCGCACCTGCCCCCTAATCTCCTCCCCTCCCCCGCCCCCCGCCCAGCCGCCCAACGCGGTGGGGCCGCCCCTAACGCCTCAGCTCCCGCCCTCGGCCCTCGCCTGCCGGGCCCGTCAGGCCTTAGCGCTGGGATAGCCGTTGGGCGGCGGCAGAGCCGCGGCGCCTGAAGCAGCCCGGAGCACTATTGTATTCCTGACACTGAGCGCTCCCACGCTCCGCCTCTTCCCCTTCCTTCCTCACTCTCCCGCACCCCCCACTACCGTCGCCGGCCGCGGTCGCCCTACCAGACTGGCTCCCCGCTGTCCTCCAGCCGCGAGCTCTTCTGGCGGGCTGGGCGCCGTCGACACCACCAGCGCGCCTCAAGGCTCCGCCCACTTCGTGCTCCCGCACTCGCCGCGCAGTATTCCAGGTGGGTTCCTCCGAGCTTCTGAGGACGTTAGGATCCTCCGCCTGGCCAAGTGCCAGGGAAGGTCTCTGGAAGGTGCCTCACCTGTGTTCAAATACAAGCTAAGCTTTTCATGGCCCCTTACAACTCCAAAGTTCTATAAGTGGACCCTCCTGTAGAAAACTTGTCAGTCGCTATTGGTTTAAATCGTTTTGTGCTTGAATTACCTATAATGATAAAGGCAGGGTGGCTATTAACAGAATGCACTTACTCAATTGAAAGTAAAAATGATTTATGATGTGTGGCTTTTTGATGCGTCAACTCGGTTAGGCTACAGCCCCCAGCTAATCAATCAAACATTAATCTACATGTTGCTGTGAAAATATTTTCATGTAATTAAAGCTCCAGATCAATTGACTTCAAGTAAAAAGATTATCCTTTCTGATTGTGTGTGCTACAGATTTTGGATTTGTTTAGCCAGCCTCACAATTGTGTAAGCCAATATCTTCCAATAAGTGAATGAATAAATTATATAGATAGATATGGATATAATGTCCTGTTGGTGTGCTTCTCTGGTAGAATCATGACTCGTACAGATGCTTAAGCAAAAATACCCCTTTTTCATTTACCTTTCTGGGTTTGGCTATGTACCATGTCCAATTACTATCAACTCATATTGTCATTTTCATTTACATTTCTAGGCTAAACACAGGCGTATGCTCTTTTATATTTTGTATGTTTTCCATATTAAAGATATAATTCTATTTTATAATATGCAAATATGTGAGTTCTAAAATACTTATAATCCTTCATACTTACCTAATTTTATTATACTTACTTTGAAATAATTATTGATTCATAGGCTCTGTAAAAATATTACAGAGCAGTCCCATATACTTTTCAGCCCTCCGTTTCTCCCAATGGTAGTATCCTTACCTAACCAAGATATTGACTTTGGTACAATCCACAGACTTTATTCAATTTTCACCAGTTTTACATGCACTCATTTCTGTGCCTTGTATATAGTACTATGCAATGTCATCATGTGTAGATTTGGGTAATACACCACATTCAACTGTTTCTCTACCACAAAGATTCTTCCTGCTACCCAATACAGTCACTTTCATCTCCTCCTACTCTAATGCAACCCCTAACATCTTTTCCATCTCTGTAATTTTATTATTTTAAGAATATTATGTAAATGGAATCATACTTTTTGAAATTGGCTTTTCTACACTCAGCAGAATTTTCTTGAGATCCGCCCAAGTTGTGATGGAAGCACATATTCATAGTTCATTCCTTTTTATTTCTGATCAGTAATATTGCTATAGTATGGATATACTACAGTTTATGCATCCATTGAAGGACATTGGAGTTGTTTCCAACTTTTGCCTATTAAGAATAAAACTGCTGTGAACATTTACATAGAATTTTTTTGTGTGTGTAAACATACATTTTCATTTCTCTGTGACAAATGCCCAAGAATGCAATTTCTGGGTTAGATAGTAAGTGTAAATTTACTGTTATAAGAAACCGCCAGAATTTTTCAGACTATCTATATCATTTTACATTCCCACCAGCAATGTATGAGAGACATCCAGTTTCTCCACGTTTTTGCTGGCATTTGGTATCATCACTATATTTTTCTTTTAGACATTCTAATAGTTGTGTAGTGATATATCTGTTTTAAATTGCATTTTCTTAACAGCTAATGATGTTGAACATCTTTTAATGTGCTTGTTTTCTGTGTACCTTTTTTTTTGCTGAAATATCTGTTAATGTCTTTTGCCCGTTTTCTAACTGTATTTGCTTCTTACTGATAAACTTTGGGAATTTTAAAATGTATTCTAGATATAAATTTTCTGTCAGATACATGGTCTACAAATGTTTTTCCCAGTCTGTAGATTATTTTTTCATCCTTTTAAGAGATTTTGCAGACCAAAATTTTAAATTTTGATGAACTCTAATTTATCAATGTCTGCACTTATATAGCATCCTTTTGGTGTCACCTAGCCCTGAGTTCCACAAATTTTCTCAAATATTTCCTTCTAAAAGTTTCATACTTTACATTTAAATCCATGATTCATTTTAAATTATTTTTTGTATAAAATGTAAAATTAAGGTCGAGGTTCATATTTTTTCCTATGGATGTTTGATGGCTTAATTTGTTAAAAATTACTTTCTTCCACTGATTGCTTTTGCCCCTTTGTCAAAATGAGTTGGGCATATTTGTGTTGGGCTATTTGCATGGGGCTATTTCTGGGTTCTCCATTTTGTTCTGCCCTATGTGCCTATCTTTTTATGAATACCAAAGTCTTGATTACTAGAGCTATATAGTAAGCCTTAACATTGGGTAAAGTGGTTCCTCCCACTACACTCTTCTTTAAAATTGTTTTTTTTTTTTACCTATTCAGAGTCATTTGCCTTTCTATATTATTTTGTAATGAGCTTGTCTATATCTACAAAACCCTTATTGGTATTTTTATAGGAATTGTGTTAAACCTATAGATTAATTTAGGGAAACTTGACATCTTTACTATATCGAGTATTCCAACCATGAACACAATATGTGTGTCTGTCTGTTATTTAGATCTTCTTTGTTTTCTTTCATCAGCATTTTGGAATTTTCAGCATATAGATCCCATACATGTTTTGTTAAGTGTATACCATATTTCATTTTCTTTGGAGGGATCATAAATAGTATTGTGTTTCATATTTCAGCTTCCTCACTCATTGTTCCTTATTAGTACGTAGAATGCAATTATTTTTTTGTGTGTTGATCTGGTATCCTTTGTCTTTCCTGAACCCAATTATTATTTCTAGGAATTTTTTGGCAGATTCTTCGGAATTTTCTACATAGACAATCATATCATCTATAAATGACAGTTTCATTTCTTTCTTTTCAATCTGTATGCCTTTTCTTTTCTTTCCTTTCCTTTCCTTTCCTTATTGTTCAGTCTAGAACTTTCAGTATGTCAGATAAGAGTTGTGTGAGTGGACATCCTTCCCAGTTCCCTTTCTAGGGGGAAGCATTCCATCTTTCATCATTAAGAAAGCTATTTCCTGTTTTTAAAAAGATGCTCTTTACCTACCAAGTTGAAAACATACCCTTCTATTTCTAGTTTCTGAGTTTTTATCATGAATGCTGAATTTTGTCAAATGCTCTTTCTGTATCAATTGACATGATCATCAGTGTTTTCTTCTTTAGCCTGTGGCTATAGTAGATTATACTGATTGAATATTGATTTTTGTAAAAGGCGAAAGATTTATACAATCTGAAGAGAAACCAGAGTATATGAATATCGATTTTTGAACTAACCTTTTGTAGTTGGAATAAGTCCCACTTGACTATGGTATAATTCTTTTATATCTTTCTGGATCCTGTATCACTAATATTTTGTTAGATTTTGGTGTCAGTATTCATGAGAGAACTTTTTAGGGTTTTTTTTTTCACACTGTCTTTGTCTAGTTTTAGTATAATACTGTCTCCATAAAATGAGTTGGAAAGTTGTGCAGAAAAGAGTTAACATTAGCAGGCCCTCAGATGGCATCTGGAAACTTGGATTTAGGGAGAGTTCCCACCATTCCCAGTACTGATAAGAGTGGCTCACTGTGCCTAAACTGTTTGTATAAACAGTATGGTTTGTATTGAACATCTGCTTTTCTTCTGCGAGTCTGGAATTTCAGTAAGTGTTAGGGAGGGGGTCCCTACATGACTAACCCCCAATAAATGCCCTGGGAACTCAGTTTCTAATGAGCTTCCCTGATAGAAGACATTTCACATGTGTTGTCATAACTCTTTGCTGGAGAACTTAAATACATCCTGTGTGACTCCACTGGGAGAGGACTCTTGCAAGCTTGTACGTGTTTTTTTTTTTTTAAGACTTCAACCCATGCGCCTTTTCTCTTTGCTGATTTTGCTCTGTATTCTCTTACTGTAATATATCATAGCCATGAATCTAACTATATGCTGAGTTCCTAGTGAATTGAACTTGGGAACAGAAGTGTTCTCTCCTCTTGGTATTCTAGAAGGCAGTGTGTGAAATTGGTGATAATTCTTTAAATGTTTGGTTGAATTCTCCAGTGAAACTATACAGACCTGGAGCTTTCCTTTTTCAAGATCTTTCAAATTACAAATCTAATTTCTTTAATTCTTATTGATCTATTCAGATTATAAATTCCATATTGGTTGAGTTTTGGTAGTTTGTGGTTTCCAGACAATTGGTCCATTTATGTGTATAGGGTTTTTCATAGTATTCCATTTTATTACACACATGCATCATCTCACATATTTTTATACCCCTCCCTTTTTGGTGGGAACATTTAAGGACTACTCTTAGCAAATTTCAATTGTACAATATGGTATAATCAACTATAGTCATTCTGTTATATACACTAACTCCTCAGACCTTGTTCATCTTACAGCTAAAAGTTTGTACCCTTTTAGTAACCTCTCTATTTCACCTATCTCCCAGTTCCTAGAAAACTATTCTACTCTGTTTTTATGAGTTCAACTCTATTTCTTAAGATTCCACATATAAGAGATACCATAGATACCTCAGACAAAGGTTTAATCTCCAAAATATACAAAGAACTTACACGACTCCACTCTAAGAAGACACCCAACCCAATTAAAAAATGGGAAAAGGACTTGAACAAACACTTCTCCAAGGAGGACATACAGAACATTCAGAGACACATGAAGAGATGCTCAATATCGTTAGCTATCAGAGAGATGCAAATTAAAACCACAATGAGATACCACTTTACACCGGTCAGGATGGCTATCATAAACAAAGCAACAAACAACAAATGTTGGAGAGGGTGTGGGGAAAAGGGGTCCTTAGTTCACTGTTGGTGGGATTGCAGACTGGTACAACCATTATGGAAAACAGTATGGAATTTTCTCAGAAAAATAAAAATCGACCTGCCTTTTGACCCAGCAATTCCACTGCTAGGATTATATCCTAAGAATCCTAAAACATCAATATCAAAGAACCTATGCACCACAATGTTCATAGCAG